GATGCCCACTGGACCCCCCTACCGCACTCCAGCGCCACAATATTCAAAACGCCGCGCCATGACGGCTGTGAGCACGAGTGAAAGAGTAGCACCCACCAAAGACCCATAGGGCCTCTTTCTGTCCTGAAGCCAAAAGAGTTGCATGGCCCAAAAGATTTTTCAAGCTGCTGGCCGCTGCATGTGCCACGATCCAAAAATGATGGGACGGCTGCAATCAAGCGCCACGCGCGCCGTGGCAGGGGTCGAAGTCTCTTGCCTTCAAAACACCATCCCAAAACCCTATAATGTTTCCCTGAGCACTCTCGACTTCGCGCACCACAAGAGGCTTTAACCCCAGCAGCAGCCAAGGACTCAGGACAAACTAAAATTCCACATTTTCGAGGTGCATACAGTGCGGCGGGGGTACTCCTTGGTATCTCAATCTGGCCTGAAAATAGTGCCGAAGCGGTGCATAGATGTTCTCCGAACGTGATTGCGTAGCGACTGAATGTTCGCAATTACATTTCAAGATCACCCACCTAGCCCGCCCAAGAACTGGGGCGCCTTTTCTTGTCGAGGCATCTCATTGGCTGCCCGTACGGCCAAAGCCTTTTGATCTATAGCATTTGCAAAGCTTGGTATCTTAATCTGGCCTGAAAAGAGTGCCGAAGCGGCGCACGCTTTTGCAGGCTTGCATTCGAAGATTGGCTTGCCGATTTTCAAATAGTCCCAGAGTAGCACTGGCAGGCATAGGGGAGAGCATTGGTAAACCTACACGCCGATTGTTTCTGGCAAGCACAGCAGGCAGTATTGCTACTAGACCTACACGTGGATTTCTTGCAAAACCAGAGCAGAACCTCTAAATTTGGTTGGTAAGTTTTCATGTTGTCGACAGTTTGCTCGGAGGAAGCAGCGGTTATTCTTGACACGCTTTCGTGTGGTCGACTGTTTGCTGGCAGGAAGCAGCCGTAGAGTTGCAGACTTCGAGTTGAGGGGAGAGGGTCAATGATTGTAAAGCTGTTTCTTTCAGGCAAGCTGTCGACAACACGAAAGCCTGCTCGATGTGTTGCTCCGGTTTTCAAGATCAACGTGTAGGTCTAGCACGTCTAGTAACAATATTGTCCGTTGTGTATGCCAGAGGAAGGCTTCGTGTAGGTTTACCAGTGTTGTCCCTTATGCCTGCCAGAATGCTACTCCGACACTGTTTGAACATCCGCAGGCCAATCTTTCAATGCAAGCCTGCAAAATCATGACCGAAAGGCATGCACAGATTGCAAAGACATTCATCTGAACTCGGTTCATTCAAAGAAGAACCGTAGATGGGTGGATCCATAGGTTGGGGGGGGGGCTAGATCACAGCAGACAAGCCGGACAGACTTTTTTACAGATGCTGATCGAATGTTGCCCAAGTGGTTGTGCCTGCGCAGCGGCCATGTAAGACCCGAGGAAAGGGATGACATGGGATTGCGCAGTGATTATAAAGGGATATATAGGGACTCTATTGTCACAACGGAGACTCCAATGGAGGAGAGAATGGAAGGATTGGGATTGCCTGGTGGACGCCCAACTCCGCTCGGCGGGTGAAAGAGCACCCCGTGCGGCCGGAGGTTTTGGGGCATCACAGGACCCCGCCACACGGCGAATCCTCCATCGCATGGCAACAAAGAGCGCCGCTGCCCGTCATCGCACGTGTGCGAAATGTTTTTCTGTTTGGGTGCCACGCCAAACGAAATTTGTAAACCTAAGACGTAATCATGAACAATGCCGCTGTTGTACCTATGGAAAACATATGTCTAGAATGTGGGGCCATCATTTCGCAGAAATGTCGAACACATGGCGCCTGAAGACTCCTGAGCTGGATTCTAAGACCTTGAAACACTGTTGAAAGCCGCTGGGACTTTGCTTTCAGCCGTCAGCATGTTCATATGCTCACATTGTTTTGATGTTATTTTGATTTTTCAACATTTAAGAGAAGTGTCCAGGTTTTCATATTTTCATGTTTTCATGTTTCCGACATGTTCCATGTTTTCCTATTGTGTGACCCTTCCAGAAACATGAGCAATCATAAGCAAGTATGGAAAAGATAGATCCAGAAAATATGGGAGACACAAAAATTGGAGCCAATACGGATGCAAACGTCTCAGGCAGAGGAACTGAAGGCTTTGGTCTTCATTTCCACATGTTTATGTTTTCGCAAAACCGTGGTTTCACATTCTATTCTTTTTCCAATGATTTTTTGGCTGTTGTGGGGATCCCTACGGCTCAATCCTACGGTTCTGTGACGTGCTGTTAAGGTGTTCAAATGCAAGACATGAAACAATGTCGTGCCCGTTTGCAAATCTGTGGAGTATCCATCATACAACGTCCCAGCGCACCCTTGGTTGCATTTTCATGAATAGATTCCAGGGAACGCATGTGTTTCAGGCCTCAAGTCTCATGTCGGACCGTGCTTCTGCAAGGAGATGAACTCCCACTCAGACTGGAGCCGTGCGATGCTCGAGTCACTCAGCACCTTGCGGGATGAGCTTGTGCCTCAGATCCCCTCCAACATTCACCGTTTATCCGAAGCACGGCGGTCCTGTACCCCAAGGCCAGCGGTGCTTCAACCGGAAGAGGCCTGAAAGAGGGTGGTTGAGGACAAGTGTGGAACTTGCCTGTGACAGGCAAAGCTTGCAGAAGAAAGCCCTGCTCAGCGGCTTGGTTGCATGGACACAACCACTTTTGATGTCTTCATCCCGTGCCAGCTGAGGCCTGTAACCGAGGCTGCACTTGCGACATGACGTTTTGCTATGCTCACTTTGGGGTTCTTCTCTGAAGCAGGATGTGGCGATACCCGTGGCAAGCAAGCCAATTCCCGAGGGTGTTGACCAGCCAGGACTTAACGCAGCAAGTCGATTGATGATGGTTGATGTTTGCCTGCGCCGCTTTTACTGCTTATTTGCAGGACGTACATCCAGCGACCAGCTGAAGGCAAAGGCGCGTTGGTCAAGCAAAATTTCCACGATTTGCAAGACGCTCTTGTGACCTTGGTGGCGGCCAAGGCCTCTCGAGCAAGTGGGCGTCGCTTTATGAAGATGCTTGCTGTGAGATGGACGAGAGCTGGCAGCAAGAAGCACTGCTTTTTGCACCTTCGCCCCGACTCACCCCCCCAGGAACATTCACAGCTGAGGTTGTACATATGTTTGACGATCGCCTTGTTTGGGCCGGGGATCGTGACCTTGCTCGACCTGCCAGACGATCCCACCGCGCTGCGGTCGCAGCTTGTGATGTTGCTATGCAGGTAAAGGCGTGCTTCCCTAAAGTGGACTGCTGACTGCTACCTGTAGCCTCCCTCCATGTTAAGGTGATTATTCTGGATGTGGTCATGTGCATCATAGCTTTTGCTTTTGCGATGGAAATGGTCGGCCTGCTCCTGACGGACACCCTGCTGCTACTGCTGCCGGTAGGCAGGTTCAGATAGAACCAACAGTGCGCCCACTGAAGGACGACATGTACAGATTCTCCTTCTTTTTTTGGCCAGAGTCTTACGCTGCATGCAGCCATCCTTGCAAGGAATGTACGCTCCATGTCAGGATGGACTTGTTGGGAACTCTTTCAATGGCCTTTGAGATCTCGTTCCTACTGGGCCAGTATCTGAACTCAAATACTGCCATCACCTGAGTTATGTGAATCTGAAGCATTTGCTTCACCAAGAGTTGCGCTCTGAGGTTGTACTCCGAACGGCCAGAACAGCAAAGCTGGGTGCCAGGATCGGGAGACTTATCAAACTTGTGAAGTGCGTGAGCATCTAGGCTTCCAACCCTGACCACGACTTAAATCACCAGTTGTGTCATCTACTGGCTGTTCCAACAACTGCGAATCAAGGCATGTTCTACAGATCAGCTGCGAAGACCAATCGGGTGGAGGCCAAAGTGCTGGCCAGCAAACTTGTGGTGCTCTTGTCGACGCGGGTCTCCGTCATTGTCATTGTCATGGTAATGGCGCGGCGCGCAGAGTCGTGCTTTCTGCATGTAGAATGCTCGTGAATGTTTGCAAGCTTCAATCTGAGGTGGTGCCATTGTCCGCCTATCCGCTGTACCCCACGGAGGACATGTCCATTTCCCTTTGGCCGCAGCAATTGGAAGAGAGCTACCTTCGGCAGCAGCGGGACGGCCTGACCGGAGCTTTGCAGGAGTCCATTGACCACATGGTCCAGTTCTATTCTGCCGTGAACTACAGCCCTTACCTTGTGCAAGGCTTCGGAAGCGATCAGGTCCTGGCAAATAAGCCGTCGCGAACCAGGAATTCTTTGACAGTGATGTTGGAAAGTTGCAAGGTGCAACGCCAAGAAGGTTGCAGCGTTGCTGTCGTCTTCGATTTTACAGGCCCCAACCAGATGGACGCCCTGGTTGAAGTTTGCACTATCCTCTTCATAATCCTTCTCATGGCTGTCACAAGCTTTGATTTGCAGAACGTTGTTGACAGAAAGCTGGTGAAGCCACTAGAGGGCATGCTGCAGCACGTCCGAGAAAATGCCGCCCATATCTTCGATCGATTTGCAAAACAGACTGAAGGCACGGAAGGGGCAGAGCTCGATGATGAGCTTCAAGAGCAGCAGGGGGGATCTTCTGAAATTGAGCTCATCCAGGCCATTCTGGAAAAGCTGGCCCGCCTGGCAAGCCTAGCTGAGAGTTCCGTTAAAGCATATACCTCAGCGGAGCTTGATGCCATGAACGCTGAAAACAAGGCCGTCCTGATTGATATGCTGAACGTGCAAGTTCTGCAGTCTGGAGGCCAGAGCAGATTAGGAGGCAAACGGACCACGAAAGTTGATGTCCAAGCAACCTGGACACAAAACTGGAACCTGGACGTATTGGAGTCAACGCTTGAGGAAATTCATGGCTATGTGCACTACATTTTTTTCTTATCTCAGTTTGGCCTTGCTGCGCAGTACACCGCAGAAGACAGTTTCCTTCTATTCGCTCAGACTGTGGAAGCCAATTACAAGGAGAAATGTTGCCCTTGCACGATTGGTGTATGGCTTGAGATCCAAAGAATCTTCCAGATCCTTCAGCACCTATGCAGACATATTCTGAAATGCAAATGACATGAACAGTGACACGATGGGAAGTATTTGGGTGTGGGATGTCAGGCGAACAAGGTCACCACCACACTCATTTCCTTGTGAAATCAGGGACCAGATCCGCCAGTGCACATTTGGAGGCTTTCAGTTTTCGAGGTGGAGGTTTCGACGGTTTGGTGATTTTGGCAAATCCATTCCATGGCACTACAAACTACAAATACACATACCTGTAAGACCTAGCAATGCGAGCATGCGCGGTGGCCAGAAACAGAGACTGAATGCTGCCAATCATGTCGGGCCAGGTTTCAGGTTCTGTACCATAAAAGCATGCACAGAAACCGCTGTATGGTGTGGCCGGCAATTGGCGCCAAGGTTGTGAGACATGGACGTGCGGAATCTAGGCAAAATGTGTCATTGTGCTGGTTGCGACACGTGCGAGCCCCAGCAGCACCACGCAAAATCTCGTACAGCACCATCTCAACTAAAGACACGTGAAACGATGTGTGGTGCAAAAGAGGTGGGCAGTACTTTCTTCACTCACCGTCACTCACCCTGCCCCGTGTCATAGCCCTCCCTGAAGGATTCATGTGAACAGTTCACTTGAAGGAACAGAAGCACACCCACTACACATGAAAACTCTGCGCTAGCAGTAACACCACCTCACTATGGAAGCTGCATTCTTGCAGTGAACATTTCCAGCCAGCAGGACGTTCCGTACCACTGCTTCCAGCATGCTGTGGATGTGTGCTTCACCGTCTTCCGCTTACAGCAAATCACCCAAGCCGGGAAGTGGACCAGCGAGCTAGAGCAGTATACCCTCCTTGTGGCAGCGCTCAGTCATGACCTCGGGCATTTTGGCAGAACAAATCAGTTTCTCGTGGAGACCAAGCACGAGCTGGCTTTGCGCTACAACGACAAGTCTCCCCTCGAGAACATGCACTGTGCCGCTCTCTTCCACTTGTGCCAGGACCCAGAGAAGGACGTGCGGGAAGCTCAGAAGCCACACGAGTCGCAGCAGTGGCACAATCTCACCTTCCACCGTAGGTTTGCACAAGCGTCCAAAGAGGAGCAGAAGGAAGCGCGCAAAGTGTTGGCTGCTGAGAGCATGAATTGCGGAAGGCGTTTTGTCGTTCCATTTCTGCCGCACGAGAGGCACTAGATCCTATGCTGGCCCTATCATCCTTTCTTGCTCACCATGTGGTCATGAATGTTGCATGCATGATGTGAAGAGGACCAAGCATCGAAAACGCAACGCCTACTGGCAATTTGCAACAAGGGCCCTTGAACTCATCCTATGCAGAACGACTTTTCAGCAAGCCCAAGTCATGCACCTGAATGCTCACAAGTCTGTTGAGAGCATCACAGCTTTGGGTCTGTCAAAGCCATTGTTCACACAAGGTGCATTGCAACTATCCTGCACACTGACAATGTGCACCATTTTGACATGGTCAAGGACTGCTGGGAGTGACTTCCGAGCTAAGTCTGTGGAAGCGCATGGCTGGACGTTTACTTCTTCAATTTGCTTGTCTCCAGGCGTAGCTCGCGCACTCAACTCCTATCCTACCTACCCAGACTTTGCCTCCCCACCCAAGGGCGAGAGCCCAAGGATGCATAATCAGACATGTGCCGATATTTGTCAGCTCCTCCAGTACTACCTGTACCAGTACCAATGACCGACAGCTTCTGGACAAGATTGTTCATTTCTACTTTTCCTACACGGAAAGTGCAATAGCAGGAATCGGATTTTGCAATTGCAGTGGTCTAATCACATGTTTGCCGAACAAGCTATCCCCTCAAGACATGCCAAAATGTGGCCCGTTCTTATCTCATGACTCAAGCACCTTTCTTGAGGCCTTGGCGTTTAGGGTTAGTTTCTGCAACTTTCTGCAAACTGATGTTGAAGGGCAGGTTATGATGTGGAGATGTTCGAGGTCTGACTGTTTGGGAGGATGTCAGTGCGGTGTACGAGATGGAGTCAGAAACCTGCGACATCCAGGCAGGACACCCTGAGGCGGGAGAATTGCATTTGCTTCGAACTTAGACCTGCTGCGCAGATGTTGTGCCTCCTCACGGCCACAGGCCTTTCTCCCAGCGTACACCGACAACGTGCTTACGGGCAAGAACAAGCTCATGTGGCTTCAGCTTTTCTTACACTTTGCTGATGTTTCGAATCCCTTGTGCCTGGTCTGTTAAGAGAGATCGGCAATGGCTCAGAGCAGCCATTCATGCCTGGGCTGCATGCCTGCGCGCTGTCCAAGGAAACCGTTCCACATTTGTCGTGCCTGGGCATGGCGAGTTTTGGACGAATTCTTCCAGCAGGGGGATGAGGCTATTATAATCTAATCAGAATCTTGTCCTCCTTCATTGCTAGAACTGTCAGACCTGAAACAGGAGCGGAAGTTGGGAGTCCCGGTCGGGATGTTAAATGACAGGGAGAAGGCTGTGGCCGCACAGTGCAAAGCGAGCCTGATTGTCATCTGATTAGATGTTCAGGTCAACCGTCCTGGTTCGCAACATGGCTTCATCAACTTCCTGGTCGCTCCCTTTGTCGCAGCGAGCGCCTCCCGGCTGCAGCCGAGAGCATAAATGGAGCAATTCAGCAAAAGGAGGAACCCCTGCTTTCTTCTTGAGGTCAGAGTTTTCCCAACCCTGCATCCATTGCACACACAGATGGTGAAGAACGTGGAGGCCGTAGCGGCTGAAATGTGCAACTTGCGGGTGGCCTCAGTGGCCTCAGAAGCTCCAAACTCTCAAAGGAGTGGCGCAATCTGTGGATCAAGGCAGAAGCATAGCTGGGCAGACAGCAGGTAGGCAGGCGCATAGCGTGCTTCCAGGATGCAAAGCCCAGCGATGAAGACATCGCGAAGAAAGATGCGGACGCATGGAGCACAGTCCAGCATTCTGCGCTGCTACTACATGTTGTGCACGTATGCCCTCACCAACATAGTCAGGTGAGCCGTTTGAAGGCTCTTGATGCGGAGCTCACTACACGAAACAAAGCGCAAGGCGCTGTCAAGATGACTCCGCGTGTATCCTGAGAGGCACTGAAGAATTATGTGCTGCAAGGGCTTGTGACTCATTATCCCAAGTCGAGGCGCGCGGCCTCTTTTGGGTGCGATGATTTCGCAAGGGACATACCCTTTGCAGCCTGCAAGCAGCGCCAAACTCGACCAGCTAAAATCATGCATTTTTGCAAAGATGCAAAGCCAGCTACTTTCTGATGTTCATGCAATTTGCTAGGCCCAGGCTGCTAGACTCGCTGGACTCATGCTCCTAGAAACTTCTGCAAATACTGCAGTCGTGGAGCTCGAAGAAGATACCATGGTTTGACAGCGACCAACACCCCTAGATGTTTCACGTGCAGGTCTCCCGGTCTCACGCCCTGGTGCTAGCCACGTGCGTGAACTTCCCTGCGCGAGATGAAAGTGGTTCGCTTCAGAGCTGTTGTATTGGAGCTGAGCAAAGGGTGACTCCCTGTAGGCTCTGCATGATCAAGGATCAGATGGTAGAGCCAATCCGTTTGTAGCCCATCTGGGCTGGCAGAAATGCTGCGGTGACTTGCATGCAGACTGAGAAAGTCTCTGCTCGGAACTTCTTCTGAGAACACAGCGCAGCTTTTGGAGTCTAATGCGATCAAGCCAAGGCTTAAGCTGCTGCTCACCTTCACCTTGCTGCTGCTTGGGCAGAAGCAAGCCGCTGAGCCACAAAGTTCACGCAGTTCACGCGGTGGGCCAGAGAAGGTGACAGAGGAGCTGCAAAGCCGTGTTGCTACGCTCGAAAAGGAGATAGGGTATCTAAACAGGATATCAGAATTGGAGGCCGAAGTGCAAGTCTTGCGAAAGCAGCTGGCGGAATGTGAGCTCCCGTCTGATCCGTCCTTTCAAGCTGCTAGCACGGGAGCCTCATCTGAGATTTCAAGTCATACTGCGATCTTCAGCATCGTCAACGCTGCTGTCAGCGACTTGACATCCGCTTTGCTGCCCATGATACTGGGCATCCTGGCATATGTCTCAGCCACCAACGGCTTCGCACGTGATGAAAAGCTGAAGAAAGCACATCACAGCTGCAAAGAGGGCGGAGCGGCATTTGCGGTGCAGGCGCTTGGCACCTCCTCCGGCCCAAAGCAAGAGAAGCAGAAGGGAGACTCACCGTTAGCGTTAGCGACCTCGAAGGAGTGTGAAGCCCCGATGCCGCTTCAGAGAGCCAAGGATGGCCCATCCGTGGACGATGATGATAGGGACGATGCGAAGGAAGCACCCGAAGGGCCCTTGGCCTTGGCCATGAGGCCCAGCCTGGCCCAGGAATGCCGCATGCAGGACAATGTGGAGGCCCCTCCCGGGCTGCCACCTGGACTTCCACCGCCATTTCGGCCACCTCCAGGCCTTACTCGAGTAGAGCCGCGGCCGGTCTTTCAGCTGCAGATGCCTGGCTTGGTTGACCTTTCAGAGGCCACGGTCCACTACGAAGAACAAGCTGAGCAGCCAGAAGAGCCTAGCGGCGAGGTCACCGAAGAAGCAGCTCCGAAGGAAGAAACATTGGAGGAAGTAGACCAGACTGAGCAAATCAATCTTAAGGCTCTTAATGTGGAAGAGGAAGGAGCGGACAACTCAAGAACGCTAGAGGATGGTCAGCAGGAAGAGGAAGCGGAGGTGGAGGTGGAGGAGGACGAAGAAGGAGAAATAGAAGAAAGGTCAGATCACGAAGAAGTGGAAGAAGTGGCGGAGCAGGAGGAGGAGGAGGAGGAGGATGAGCACTTTGATGAGAACGAGGAGCAAGCTGTGAACGATGACCACAAGAAGACAGGCGGAAAGGTCCACAGAAGGCCCAAAAAGAAGAACAGCACGAACAGCACGTCAGAGGGGAAGGAGAAGGGGCGGCGTGCCAAGCAGAAGAAGGTTGAAAGGGACACATCAAACTCTAAGGCCTCTAAGGTTGAAGTAAACAAAGGCAGCCAAGAGGCAGAGACTCGCGTGGGCCGATCACATATCATTGTAGCGGCGCTCGCGCTTGCAGTTCTCGCGGGACTTGGCCTCAAGGTGGCTTGCAAGATTACTCTCCTGCCATGGTTTGGCTAGGCGTTGCGCAGTAATAGAGGTTCTCGTGAACATGATCAGAGCAGCCTGAGCATCAAGCACAGGCATACTTAGGTAGACTGCAGACAGGCTAGGCCCCAGGCCGTCAGCCAAGGTGCTACGCAGGAAGACTGTGGTGTCCTCGTCCTTCTTCGTGGAGCCCTTGCCCGAGCATTGCACTAGAGAGATACCAGAGCATGTGAAGATCTTTTCTGCGGACAAGAAGCTGCCAATGAAAGTCATGGAAACCAAGCCTAGCATCGCTCTCCATGCCCCATGCTTCCTCAAAAGTTTCCAGAAGGTTAGCAGAAAGTATCGACCAACAGGCAACTGGTATTGGCAGAAGACCGATGCAGATTCTGGGGAGCGTTTGAGTATTCAGCATCAGCACGAGCCAGCGATTTCTTCAACGCGCATCAGGGATGACAGTGCTGTGGTCACTTTTCTCACAGACCATATCTTCCCAAAGTTCGGTGAGCTGAACGAGTTGAGCTATGACTGGTACGTGTTGCAGCAAGATGCAGGCAGGTTGTGGCCGTGGGAAAGGGTAAACGTAGGGAGGCTTGACTTTCGCTGATGGAGCTGTGGTGTTGCCTTCTATCAAACTTGTCCGTCAGGCTTCGTTGTCCTGCTGCCAGACCCCGCGGCGCATCAGTCAGTCTTCGAGGCCCAGAGCCACTGGCGCCCTCTTTTCCAGAAACTGGCGCATACTTTCTATCCCAAGTACTTCATGGCTTACGCATCTACATTTGACGCGAAGTCACGCAAGTGGATCGAGAAAGACTTCGGCATCACTTCGTTCCCTGCCGTTGTCATTTTCACTGGGCACCTTGGCATTGTACCGTAGTTAGTTTGGGCCAACGAATGCTTGCCACAAAGCAGGGGGGCTGCTGGCATTACAGCTGACATCTGCAAAAAGCTCAGGCACCCGGCGGACCAGCCACAGATAGTGGAGCAAAATGCTCTCGAGATGACTTACGAAAACCTGGCTCAATTTATCCAGGACGTAGAGGATGGTTGCCTGACATGGGTGCATCCTCTCTTGACTTTTAATGACCTGAAACCCTTCACAGAGAAGGAGATGCCGACCTGCCCATTAAAGTCCTGATGCATGCTAAATTCCGAGAAACTTTGCTGATTTCCTGAATAACACTAGTTAGCATATTGCTTATGGAAACCACTGCTTTGAGTAGAGTAAAGTGCTTGGGTGGCTGCACCAATCACAAAGTCAGCATGTACACTATGGCATGCTAGGCTGTACGTCGCCTGAACCAGGGAGGTTCAGGTGCACTTTAGCCCAATGATGCTGCCTGTTTCACTGAAGCTGACCTGCAGCTGGCAGAAGGGCCCAGAGATCAGCGTCCTGGCTTATGAGGGCGTCGAGGAGTAGGGTCAAGCCTTGTTTTAGCTGTTTTTTAGGCGCTCCAGTCTTCCTTAGAGGCATAATGAGGCATACATAGGAGGGTTCGAGAACCTTGTGCATGGCTTTCTTGGCTTCTCCCTGCAGTCGGGAGCCTCTCAGTCTCACGCACAGCCGCAGAAGGCATCTGCGAGTTGGAAGGATGGAAGTAGTGTACATAGAGGCAGCTCCTGTGAGCCCGTTGTCTTTCATGTTTGCGCTGATTGCTGGTAGTGCCAATCAGTGAAAGGTGAGGTTGCAGAAACGTGTGTTTGATGCATGACGTTGCCAATCATTCATGGGCTCACGTGCCATGTGTGAGCCTCTTGATGCATGAACGTGCCCTGCTGCTCTCAGATCAGAGTCCATTGCGCATTAGAGTGCCGGGCACGGTCTTCCATTCCTAGGTGTTTGCAGCCCCCTGATCTGTCCATCTCGTGAAAAATTTGCTGACGCAAAAGCCGGAGTCTGCTGACGCATGGCGCTCTTGACAGCAGAGCATGTCCAAAGACGGCCCAGAACTGCTGCCAAAGGCGTGGCAGTTGCATCTCGGACTGGGCCGTTGTGCTTACTTGTCCTGTCTGCTTGAGGCACCTTATGCTGGAAAATGGGTTCCTCTCATCACCTGTCCCAAGGCTCACACGGTGCAGAGACGAACTCACAGCTCCAAGGGCTTTGCTAAGGGACTCCTGATGTCTGAGGTCACCGTTGACTTTGCTTGCCACTTCGCTGGCGCGATGGCCTGAGACTAGTGCACAAGAGTCTCTTGACAATCAGTGTCGGCAGAAGAGGTGAGTCCGGAGGATTTGGCTTGTGATTTGGGCTGTGGCCTGGGCGTTTGGTGCATTGCAGCTGCTGAGTGCCGTGGTTGCAACAGAAAAACATGCAGCATACCCAGACACACCCTGCTATCTATCCTTGGACAGGTGCGGGGCAAGGTCAATCGGTCTGGATATCAATCCAGAAAACCTGAAGCCTGGCACTTGCTCTCAGAGCCCTTGAGGTTTGATTGATGGGCATCTGATCTGCACTCGAGGCAGGCACAAAGAAATGCAGAGACGGCAGGTGTTGCCGAACTGTGCGGTGCCTGGATCTTGCAAAATCTGCAGCATCAACTGAAGAAATCAGTCAGGTGTGTGGACAATGCACAGGTGTACATTCCGGGAATGTGACTTCACTGCGCCAGGCTTCTCCGTGCCGCAGTCCAAGGCTGTGATTAGTTGACTGGCCAAGACAAAAAGCTGCTCTCCCGAGATTTCTAAGCTACACAGGGCCTGTCCTGCTACCAGTACCTCAGTGCACCCGCCAGAGCAGTTGGCAGCCTAGCTATTTTCTCTCTGCGGAGGAATGCCATGCTCGTGCTGCCCCCCTTGCAAAGATTGGGGGTGGCTTTCCTGCTTCCGATCGAATCCATCGCCTGTGCCGTGCGTTGTTTTGGGACACCTGCTTCCGTCATCCTTGTCATCACTCTTGCATGGAATGGCAGAAGCAGTGTTTGCGAGGTGTTTCCTACGCAGCGGTGGGCCCCACCAGCTCCATGCACTGCACCAAAACAAGACAACATGCTGCACGTGTGTCCTTAGCCAGGCAGCATTCAAAGTCGATGATGGACAGTAGTGGCATCTGCCGAGACGCGCGACTTGTACCATGACAACTCCAGACCTCCAAGATCCCGGTTGGCCTAGCTGCTGTGCAGACTTTCTCCACGGTCCCACAGTGCCCAAGTCCTGCCAAATCTGCCTGTCGGACTGTCAGGGATCACCAAGGACCAAAACTTCTGTCAGCACGCCTTGCTCTGGTGAACCATCCTCCAGAATCATGGCATTGCGTTAACTGCTGCATAGCAGCGCATGACCGAGCCAGATGACCAGCCTAAGTGCACACTGTCATGCCGCTCAAGCTCTTCTCTCTGTTTGCGCCGACGACGTGTTCACTACCAACGAAAACATCGAACCTGTAAGATCGAGGCGCCGAAGCCCTCGAGTGTCGTGCAAACAGTTTGCACTTGTACCGAGCTCATAATTTTTTACCATGAGCTACATAACCTTTGGTTTTTCATTGCGGCAGATACCCTTATACCCCTGCATCCCCGGCTCGATCACTCTTCGGGGCCCTCCTAAAGTCCAGGCACAAATGCCAGAACTCGCCCAACAGGAATCAGATTGTCATGGAGGCATGTGGAAGCATGGATCTCCTTCGTTTGCACTTGGTCTCATTGAACATGCAAGCCGCCACCTAATCTCAAAGCCAGTGCTCTGAAGAGTACTTATGCTTAGGCCTGATGAAGTCACGGTGCTCTTCGTGTACTTGCTGCCTTGGGCGCATGATGCTCAGAGAAAGGAAGTCTGTACTCTGCAGGAGGTGGGATGCGTCCACAGGTTGGAGTACTTGGAGGACGTTTTCCTGCGAGCAATGCAAAGCGGTTGCCGACTCGCTCGGGACTCAAGCTCGACACGTCATTCGAGGAAAATTGCGGAAACATTTTCATCGTTGGTCAGGTGTCCTTCCAGTTTCATCCTGCAAGCCTCGAACCTGTTGGGATTTCACTCTTTGGCTGCTTGAAGCTATACCGGTCGGGTACCCATATCACAGACGTCGCAGGCGTCTGAGGTTCTTGGATGACGGCTTAGTCACCTTAATCTTTGCTTGCAGGAAACTGAGCGATACAGATTCTGGTCGATGTGACTTGCCTGCAGCATGCAGGAATGCATCTGCTTTTTCCACATGCCCCCGAAATCCCCGGATGAGGGTGCTGGCAGGTGAAGAAGGTGAGACTCCAATGGAGGTAAGGCTTGGCACATGAGCGCGTTGGTGGGTGAGGTTTGCCCTGCAACAGGTGCTTGGCTCATTCCTGAATTCCATGGACTGAGCAGGGCCACCCTGAAGCTTGCCTTCTGCAAGCCAAAGCAAAGTCTTGCATGCCTTGCAACAGCGCTTCGGCAAAAGAACTAAGCGATGGCAACTTGTGGCATAGAGCCGTGCTTCAGGTTGAAGCTGTGCCGTGGCCATCTTGCCCAACAGGTTTCTGCATGCCCCGTACCTATGCCACATTGTGCGTTCACAGTCTGGAGATCTCACGCCCAGTCAGCAATATCCTCAATTGATGAGGGCAGTCGTACTATGCTTGACAGATTGGCCTACTCAGTTCTTCACCTGAGTAGCATGGAGGAGGGTCGGCACGCAGCCTGCCATAAGAGCCGAGAAGTGTACTGGAATGTGCAGTCATGGCCCCGCAAGCGACGCATTGCAAGTATGCTCCTCAGGTAACTAGACACGCGGCACGGTAATGTGTGTGTGTGTGTTTGCCCGCCACTGCAAAGCTTCCCGAACAGGCCCAGGAGTCTGACGGCTCAAATTCCGGCGGCTTGGTATTCATGGGTTGCTATTGGATACACTAGTCACTAGTCACTACCCTCGGTTGATCAGCTCTGCTCCGAGCTTGCAGGTGATGAAGGACAGAAGTGCGAAGGCAACGAGGGCGGAGAGTCTGAAGTGGACTCAGAAGCCAGCTGGAGACTTAGAAGTAGCTTGAACAGCCCAGAGGCTATTTGCCATGGCCTCAGGCGATCCCTTGGCAACGGACAGCGAGGCCTAGATCCACGCAAGTTTGCATCCGTCGAGAATGTCATTTCATTGGCAGTGAGGTAAGGTCATACTAATCGCCCGTCTTATTTCTCAGTACTTCATCTTTTTCATTCTTTTCTCCAGAGTTGAGAAAGGACTCGCTCGCGTGGGCACATGGTGTTGTGACAGGTTCATGCGGGGGCATTCAGCCAGTTCCATCAAGCTCAGCGTAAGAAGTTCGAGGAGTCGTTGGGGAATGTAGCCTTCTGATGTTATCCAGGTTCCGGACACTGCTTGCACCAGGCTAAGATTCACGTGTTCAGGGAAAAGGCGACTTTGTGACACACGACCTGCGTGCTGGTCGAGTGGCCTTGTTCCCTGGGCAATGCCACCCACAGGTTTTTGGGGTCTATGCTGGCGTAACCGACGGATGTCTGCAAAAACATGGCATCAGCAGAAGCTCGGCGGTTGGAAGGTGTTTGCCAAGATACAGGTACAAGTAGTCTCGACTTTGTACATCACTTTCACATCTTCCGGCTGCATCCCGTAGTCCTTTGCCACAAGACAAGGTCATCCCGGCTGCTGAAAAATGAAACAACTGTCAAAGCCAGGCCTTGCCGGAGCAAAACATCCAGGAGCGCTGCCGTCTCAGAAATATGGCAGATGACATATGTGCGATTCCGTACGTGTGCGCACTGAGTCATGACTTGAGATGTGAGGCCCTGCTCGGCAGACTCGGGGCCAGCGATTCACTACCCTGCATGGAAAGGATCGCAAAGATGATGAGGCGCTTTGTCGCTTTGTGTCATGCTGCGAACTCAATCCTCTGACTGGTGTGCATCTTATTCGCTCAGGACTTTTGGGCCCATGCCGGATTTCACGATGCATCCTCCGACAGCGAATTCAACGTGCAGGAGGACCCAGACATTGCATTGCATCAGCTGCTGCACTTTGCAGACACTCGATTGGAGGAGTCCGACGACACACAGGAAACAGATTTCAGCCAGGCGCAAGATGAGGGCAGCGCCGAGGAGAAGGCAGCGTTGAAGCCGAGTCAAGCAGGGTGACATCAGATCGTTGCACCTTGGATGGACCAGGAGCCTCCAAAGCGACCTCCAGCCGGGCCCTTATTCGCAAAAGCTGGA